GAAGGGTTCGCGTCGCCCCAGGGACTGCGAGGCGAGGGTTTTTCTCCGCGAGGCCTCGACAAGCTGGGGAGGAGGAGGAGAAGGAGGAGGCAGAGTTTGGGACTTTGATGACTTTCCCTTTGTTTGGCCTCCTGGAGGGCCGTCCTCGTCGCCACGGCCGAGTCAGCCTCGAAACAGGACGGGGGGAGATAAGGAGGAGGAGGAGCAGGAGGAGGAGGAGGGGCAGGAGGAGGAGGTAACGGCGGCGGCGGAGGACCGCAAGGACAGGGGAGGTCGGAGGAGGGCCAGCAGAGACGTCGGCTGCCCTTGTCGCCCTCCTCCTCCTCCACCTCCTCCTCCTCCTCCTCCTCCTTCTGCTTCTCCTATGCATCCTCCTCCTCCCTCCTCCCACCTTTTCCTCCCCCCCTCCTCCCCTCTTCCTCCCCGTCTCCTTTCCTCCCTCCCTGCCCTCCTCCTCCTCCTCCTCCTCCTCCTCCTCCCCTCCTCCTCCTCCTCCTCCTCCTCCTCCTCCTCCTCCTCCTCCTCCTCCTCCTCCTTTTTACGCTAGACCAACTAAAATTTTCCTGCGCTAGTGAAAGATCCGCCGGCCCCCTTGCGGGGCCATCGGGCTGCGAGGCTTAGGTTGCTGCTCCCTGTGCCAGCTTCCAGTTTCCATGGTTAAGGTACTGCTTTCTGCTTCCTACAGTAAATTGTTACTGTCCGCGCGAGGGGGGGGGGTCGACAAGGACCCTGGTTAGCACTCCCCGGGAGGGTTCTTAGAATTTCTGGGGGGCGTGGGACACGTCAAAATTCAAGAGTTTCGTGCCCCACGAGCCATAATCCCTCGCAGATTACGCTGTATTCGCGCCCCCGAGGCCACGATCCCTAGCAAATTACGCCACATTCGCGTCTCCGAGGCCACGATCCATCGTAATTTACGCCGCAGTTGCGTCTCCGAGGCGGAACTTGCCAAGAAGGCAACAAAGCGTTCAATAACAACTTCAACATCTCAATCTGTTTTGCTCATCGCCAGCCGCCCTAGCATGACGTTCCCGAATGTCATCAAGACGGCGCCCGAACATCCAAACATAGATCTGATGTATCCCATTCTGATAGAGAGGGGGGCGGCGGCAGGGGGCGAAGCCCTTACGGATATGTTTACTCGACTTGGTTCAGGAAAAAAACCTGGCGGGCGCCGTGGGCAACGTGGGAAGGCGAGACCAGGAACACATTAGACAATTGAGTAGGCGCCCGCCAGGTCCGTGAAGACGGCACTATCCTTAGTAAGAGACGCTCAAAACTTGCGAAAAACACGGATGTCCAATTGGTAATGCCGTTTCTTTTGGGGGGTGAAAAAAGAGCAGCTGTAGTACCTTGGTAGGTGCACGCATCCTCCCCTGAGCATCCACCAGTAGCTCCACACCCCAACCCATTCGTATGTCCAGTGCACGCTGCGGAACAAGTGAACAGAATGTGGCTGGATGCGGTGAAGTCAGGGTTCGAATGCGTGGCTCTCTGAATTCCAAAGTGGAAACAATATGCTCCTCTGTTAGACGACATACAACCGTAAACCCGGAAATCGGTACAAGCTGCTTCAAGTAGGCGCTTGCTGATGCTGAGGCTGGCCTGTGAGGCTGGCCTCAGGAGGATGCTAAGAGCCTGTAACCGAATGTGGAAAGACTTAATGTGTTTGTGCAACATGACTGTGCACGTGCACATTGGCAATTTGCTCGCGTGTACGTAGGTGGGGACAATAACGAGGATAGCCTGTACGCACTGAGTGGCTTGCTCATGTTGCGTGCAGAGGTTTTCTGGTTGACCCCAAACCGTAGCAACAATGAACAATGATGCAGCGACGCGTGCTGGGAAGAACTGCCCGATCTGTGGGCAGGGGTTTCTGGCTGACCCCGAACCTTGAATGCGAGGCACGCGTGTCGATAGATAAGCATGTTGTGTGCAAGAGTTCCCAGGTTGACCCTGGACCGTAGCAAAAAGGAGCAGTGAAGCAGCGATGTGAAACGGCTGGAAAAAAACCGAGCTGTGGGCAGGGGTGTATGGCTAACCCCGAACCTTGAACGTGATAGAGAGAGGCGTGCCACACGCATGTCGAGAGAATGGGAGGTATAGACAGTTTCAATAATGGTAGGAATCTACACCATGACCATATGCGTGGGCAAATTGCTCACGTGTGCGTTTGTGGGACAAGGAGGGCAGCCTGTACGCACTGAGTGGCTTGGGCATGTTGTGCGCAGAGGTTTTCTTGTTGACCCCTGAACCGTAGAGAAAAAAGGCACGATGATGCAGCGACGCGTATTGGGCTGGGGTTTCTGGTTGACCCGAACCTTGAATGCGAGGGAAGTGCACCACAAGGATGTCGATAGAGATCATGGACCAAAGAGGGACAGGACAACTGGAGGGTGTATGGTACGGGCCAGAGAAGCCTGTTGCATGCCAGGGTGTTCTGGTTGACCCCAAACCGTAGCAAACAGTAGCAGTGAGGGGCCGCGATGTGCAATGGCTTAAAAATAAAGCCCGAGCTTTGGGCAGGGATTTCTGGTTGACCCCGAACCTTGAATGTGAGAGAGACGCACCTCAATCATGTCGACAGAATGGGAGGGTATAGGCAGCATCAAAAATAATGAAGAAAGAGGTAGGACAGATGACGTAAGATGCGGTCGACATGCAATGTAAAAGGCGGAACGCCTAGCTCTTTGAATGGGGTCTTACCCTGGTTTGGGACCCAAGTGCGCACAGTGTGCCGGCTGGAATAGGAGGGTCTCCTGTAACAGGGTCCCCCACACCTAACTAGCAATGCTAAGGCTGCGACCCACGGTTTTCAAGGCGTACCTAAACCTGCATGATTGAAAGTGGGGAGCCACCAGCGTGTCGGACACCGCGACGGAGAAACAAAGAGGTGTAAGGCGCATCAGTGACAGTGTTCACCTGTGTCTCCGTGGCTGCACACTGTGCATGAGAGAGAGACTCAGTTGACGTTCTTCTGCGGTCATAAGAGGCGGTACGAGTACAAGAGGTGGATACCGTAGTCGGCTGCTACCGCTGTGTGGTTATAGTCCATGGTTTGTCCTGTGTCGTTACGGCTCGTAGGTTTGGGCTTGGCTGGTGTCCTGTACAGTCGCACAATCTGCTTGGGTGGAGGCTCTGTGAAAGGCACTACAGCGTGATGGTCGTGGAAGCTGTTGATGTAGATCTCGTATCGCGCCTGATGTGAGCGGAACATGTCGATGTAGTTCTGGAATGTCTGGTCTCCTGTGTTGTTGACGAAGAGGATGCGTCGGTTGCAGGTGTGAACGTGCTGGTATCATCTTCTCGCTCCTGCGTTGTGGGCTGCGATTCCATGTGCTGCGTGGGTCGGAAAGTAGGTGTGCAGGGTGGCATACGTTTGTGGAACCATGCTGTTGAGAGGTACCTCCTGTAGCCAACGCTGCATCATGATCTCCTCGTCCGGTGGGCAGATGATTTGTATTTGTAGGACAGGTGGTAGTGGATGGGCTGGCATGGCGGGTCAAAAGGGAGACCCCTTGTTGATTGCTTTACTGCGGGGTGTTTGTGTCAAGGTTGTCGGCGTGATTATGACGCTAGGTTTGGTCTTTGGTTGCTGTGCTTGGTTGTTGGTTTCGTGAGTTGGCAGAGGAGGTGAAAGTTTAGCTGGTGACGAGTTGGAGGTCGGAGTTGTCGTAGTCGGCGTACTGGTTTTGCTTAGTAGGTGAGTGGGCATCGGCTTGCTGGGAATATTGCATTGATGCACCTATGTGTTGGTGTTGAGCGTGTTGGGTGATGCTGGTGGTGTTGGTGCACTCTTGCAAGGTCGCATGTTGGTACGAGCAGGTGACGGATACGTCGGCGTCGGCGATGCCGGCGTTGCTGCCCATTGCTGGTGTGCTGTCGAGGTGTCGTGTTTGCCGTCTTGTGGAGAAAGTAGCGTTGCGTTTGGTGTGTGGGGCATGGTGGGGCAGAGGAGGTGCTTTCTTGACAGGCAGTGTCTTGGATGGCGTGTGTGTGTGTGTGTGTGTGTGTGTGGTCGGTATGTCGTTGCAACCTGTGTGTGTGTCTCTTGGGTCTGTGTGTCGTGTCTCCCGTTGTGGCGGCAGTGCGGGTGCACGCCCTCCTCCTCCTCCTCCTCCTCCTCCTCCTCCTTCTCCTTGTTCCTTCTCCTTTTCCTTCGCCTCCTCCTCCTCCCCCTCCCTCCTCCCCACTGTTCCTCCCATCCTCCTCCTCCTCTCGTCCTCCCCGTCTCCTGTCCTCCGTCCCTGCCCCCTCCTTCTCCTCTTTTCTTCGCCTCCTCCTCCTCTTCCTCCTCGTCCTCCCCCTCCTTACATATCACCTGCAGGCCTCGTGCTGGTAGAAGTGTGGTCTAATTCTAAATTTTGGGCAACCAGGGATCTACGGAAAACAGCGGCAGCAACGGCAGGCTGCTGAACAAAAGAAACCGGATGAAAGGGGGAGAGACAGCACCACAAAGCTGAGAACATCTCCGCAACTGTCTGCCCTGGAGTCTCGATTTTCTGGCACATGCGAAGAGAACTCAAACTCTGATCTGGAAGCTGTTCTCTCCTAGCAAATCTCATGCGGGGTGTCCGATACCCCAGCACCGAGGGGACCCGAAGGGGTAAGGTTGTGGAAGACAAGCAGGTACCGATACCGCTGGTCCCTGGAGCTCTCCCAGGATGAGTTCTGACCAAAGCTTCGAAGCGAATCCAGCGGTGGCAACGGGGGCCTTGGTCGGCGGCATGGTGCCTTGTCCTCCCCCAGGGACGTAGGGGGCGAAGGACGGTCCAAAAAAAACTCTTCGCAGTCGGGGGCGCCTGCCCCCCAGGCGGCTGGAAGGGTTGTACCCCTACGGTGCCACGTAGGGGTGCAGACAACCTTCCAGCCGCCCGGGGGCAGGCGCCCCCGAGAGCGGAAAAGTTTGTGCTGGGCGGATACATATATATATATACATATATATATATATATATATATATACGCTGTACCGCTCTTCGCCCGCCAAGGAACGGCGCCGCCTTCGAGCGCCTCCGTCCGGACGTGGAAGGCATTGCAGGCGTGCACGGCGGCGCTGCCCGAGCCGTCGCGCACCATCGCCGGAAGGCGCCCCCGCCGAGGGGCGGGCGCCGCGGGCGCCGGGGGAAGCGTGCTGCCAGCGGGCGCGCGGCCACACCGCTCCCCTCCGTGGCGGGCCCCCCTCGCGTCAAATAACAGGGCATATGCCGACCCCTATCCCAGACATCGTGGGGTTTTCGAATGAAGCAGCAATTTGAGCCCCAACCCTGGGATATACGATGGGGGGGTGTCCATCCTCGATAGGGGTGCGTCCGAATATCCCCCTTGGGGTGTATCCCAGGGTTTTCGCATTCGGTATCCCCGGGTCGGGTCGGAAGGATGCTTCGGGTCGGGGATCTACTGACCCGGGTCAATCCAGGCCCGCGTCAGTCAGGCTTTGCATGATACTTGAAGATCCTGCAGGATCCTGCGCTCAAGCCCGGGGTCAGTGCAACCCTGGCTCTGCAGGAACCTGCAAGATCCGGCGCTCTGACTAACCCCCGTCTGCATTGACCTCCGTCGCTTGAGCTCCGATCGGGGGTGAGCCGGTGTGCGAGGGAGGAGAGGGGGGCGTCGCTGGTTCGAGACCTTTCTTTAGTTCGCGATGGCTTGCACACGCGGAGCCCAAATTGTTCCCTACCTAGGCTCTGCCTAGAAAGGTTCTTACCGTGTAAGCTTGAGGGGCCGGGCAGTGGTCCTCGCCCCGGGCGGTTCCCCCAGGATCCGCCCCGCGGTTCCCCCAGTTACGTCCCCTAGCTTAGCGTTGCTTATCTCATCTTAGCTCAGCTTATTTCATCTTAGCTTAGCTTAGCTTCATTTTAGCTCAGGTTTATCTTAGCTTAGTTTACCTTCATCTTAGCTTCGCTGAGTTTTAGCATAGCAGAGCACGGCATAGCATAGCGTAGCATATAATAGCGCAGCACAGCATATCATAGCCCAGCATAGCATAGCATAGCATAGCATAGCATAGCATAGCGCAGCGCAGCACAGCACAGCGCAGCAGAGCATAGCATAGCATAGCATAGCATAGCAGAGCAGCAAAGGCAAAGCAACAGCAGCGACAGCAAAGCACAAGCAACGCAAAGCAAAGCAAAGCAACAGCAAAAGCAAAAGCAAAGGAAAGGCAAAGCAAAAGCAATGTGCGACAGATGCCGAGCTAGCCTCGATGGCCGTCCCCCCCGCCTAGAGCAAACAAAAAAACGGATCCGTGGGCGACGCCGCCGCTGCCGCCACTGCCGCCGCTGCCACCTGCTCCTCCTCGTCATCCTCACCGTCATCCAGCTCCTGGTCCTCCTGCCCCGGATCTGTGGGTGTATTTTGTGGCGCTCGTGTGTGCCAACCGCGTTGCCATTTTAGTTATCGGTTCGGGTAATTAGCATGGATGTAATTCCCTACCTAGGCTCTGCCTAGAGGGTTAGCTTAGCTTAGCTTAGCTTAGCATAGCGCAGCGCTGCATTAGCATAGCGTAGCACAGCATAACCAAGCATAGTATAGCATAGCATAGCATAGCATATCATAGCATTGCGCAGCATAGCATATCATAGCATAACACAGCATAGCATAGCGCAGCTTACCATATCATAGCATAGCATAGCATAGCATAGCACAGCGCAGCATGACATACCATAGTTTAGCATTGCATAGCATAGCATAGTATAGCGCAGCATAGCATATAACATCATAGCATAGCGCAGCATATCATAGCATATCATAGCATAGCAACTAATGCTGCTTTCCTAGGGGCTCCAACTTCTAGGTAGGGTCGCACTGGGGTAATTCTTTTTGTTGAATCTGGAAAATCCTGATGTTCAAGCTGCGCTATTGCCCCCCGGACTATCGCAGCAACGGTTCCCGCATGACACTTCCTCACAATTGATTCAGGATTCGCGCGTTTACTAAACACGTCTGCACAATTGACTGAGAATCGCGCTCTCGCCGGATGCAAGCGCCGCGCTCTTGAGTTCCCTGGATTGCGCTCTTGCACACGCGCCTTACAATTTGATCAGGCACCGTGTCTCGCCTGAAACTTCATTGCAAATTGCGAAAATCGTTTCAATGCCCCGCTCGGGTCCGCCCGCCCGGCCCGCCTGTTAGGGTCCGCTGGTTCGCCGGCTCGGATGCCCACCTTGCCCGTTGGGGCCCGCTCGCCTGGCCCGCCTGATTGGGTCCGCCCGCTGGTGTCCACCCGTCCGCATGATTGAACGCCCGTCCGCCCGTTGAAATGCCCCGCCCGCCCCGCCCGCCCGCCCGACCCGCCCAGCAGGGTCCGCCCGCTAAATTTCCTCCTCCTGTCCCCGTCGCTTCCTGGCGAATGTGTCTCGTCTTCGATATAGTTCCCTTCCTCTTGCTCCCCTTCCCTTTTCGCTCCATCCTCCCTCTCACGCTCTTCCCATTTTGTTGCTCCCCCTTCCTCTTCCAGGGCCGCGCCAACTACGCGTGGCTTGCAATAGAGGTACCCGCCAAAGAGGGCACGAATCGACGAACGGGGCGGGCATCAAGGGTTAGGGGTGTAAGTGTTGATTAGTGCGCGAACAACGAACAACGAACAATCTTGACACTATTCCCCACCCGGCGCTTGCACTTAGGGTTTCCTAGTTCGGCTCTACAGATGGCCGGTGTTGCCAGTGTGGCGGCTATGTACTCGCCGTCGCCACACCGTCAACGCTCGTCGTCTGGGCCGTATTTTTGGTCAGGCGGCTCTGTGGCCGCCGTCGGCGCCCCGCTGGGATTGTACCACGTAGATTACACGAGCGAGCAAACCGCGCTTGCGGCGCCCTCACTGATCGCTCACAACATTGGTCGACAGACACACACACACACATATTGCACGGCATCGATTGTACCATATAGATTGCACAACCGCACGCGTTGCATCACATAGATTGCACAGCGTAGATTGCACTGCACTAAAACATTGCGCAACAAATACTCTCCTTTCTAAAGAACGAGAAAATCTATTCTACCACCCTTCACCGCCCGGACTTATCCACCCCCCAGGAACCGACGCAAAACACATATGTTCCTGACCCCATGTGCATCCAGCCTGCGAACTCATACTGTCCCAGCCAGGAGGGTATCGGTAACCCCCGCCATTTTCTGCAACAGATCCTATGCGTGCGCACTCGTAAACCAAACATCATAACATCTCAAGAATCGCTTGCACAAAAAAAGAAACGAAATGCACACGCGCGGTTCGTCAAGCGCGCATGCCAAAACCTTTCAAACAACTTCGTTCTCGGAAAGATTTCAAAATCGAGTACCCAATACAAAAACAAGGTTTCGCAACGCGGATGTTCAACAGCAGCGTGCGCGCGCTCTTGCGAATTCTTAAGAGAACCATACTCGCAAAATTCTACCAAACGGGCTTCGCGCGCGCGCATGTCGAAATCGTTCGAATGCCCTTGCGCGCGTGCTGGGGTGGCACGATCCGTTTCGAATCATACCATGCGAGCCACTCTCGCGCGTCTGCCGCGCGCGCATTTCGAACTCCTTCCAGAACCTTCATCACCGACGCGAAGACGCCGTCATCGTCGTCGGCGCGATCAGCATCGGCGCCGTCACTGGCTGCCCCGTCGTCGCTGTCAGCATCGTCGTCAGCATCGCTAGAATCATCATCGTGTCTACCGTTGTCGACGTTGCCATGATACCGCGCCCGCTCAAGTCGCCGACTCGCACTGAAGTGCCCGCTGGGATGCGCCGAGCGGTCAGCGCCACCGCGTTCGCGTCGGTCGCGCCCAACTAGCTGGACGCTGCGCGCGCGAGCATGCGCGGGCTAGCGCGGCCGCAGATGCACTTGCCAACGCCCAGCACTCATCGCAATCGCCCCCGCCTGGGTTTTGCAAACCAAGGGGCGGGTGGGCGGGTGGGACGATTGCGCGAGCAGTAGATTGACAACTTCAAGTTCGGCAAGTTTCTGAAACACTAATAGACTCCCCCTCCCCCCCTGGAGTTAACGGGCCCCCTTTTCACATTGGAATTTGAGCACGATTCAGCCCCGCCGTCCATCCTAAATACGAATTCGCAATATCCCAGCCAAACCGGTATCACTCCCTCCCGACACCCGCTGCAAAAAATACTATGCGCGCGCGCTCGTTTATCAAAAACCATAAATGTTCAAGAATCCCTCGCAAACACCCGGGATGAAGTCCACGCGCGCGCGTCCATGCCAAAACCGTGCCAAACACCATGTGTTTGCAAGCGCTTCAGCATAAAAAAAAAAAAAAAAAAAAAAAAAAAAACAAGGTTTAGCAACGCGGTGTTTGCACATTTCCTGCCCGCGCGCTCATGCTGAAATCATGCAATAAACCATGGGATATTATGACTTCTGCCAACTCCATCAGTTTCATGCCACCGCGCGGTGCACCAGCGATACTCCTGTCATGCGCCGAGGGCGCTAACCCCTTGCAAACAAAGCACCACGCGGGCCGCGTGCGCGTACCGCCGCGCGCGCATGATCAGTCTGACGGATGTGTTGAACTTCCGCGCGCGCGGATTTCCTTGTCAACCTTGTCAGCATCAACGCGATAACCTGCCTCATGGACACATGGGCATCAGCATCGCCAGCGTGTTTGCCATCATGGGCGCCGTTATCGTTCGTGCCGTCGCCCTCTTGAACATCGTCGTCGCTGGTGCCATCTTCGTCATCGTCGCAGACGTTGTCGACGTCATCTTGTCATCGCGCACGTCCGAGTATCGTCGATATGCGCACCTTCGTCATCGACTCGCGGTAACGAGGATTGGCAGTGAAGATGTTATCATCGACGTCGTCATCGGCGGCGCCGCCACCCCCCGCATCATGAGTTTTGGCCGAGCAGTGGAGGTGGTCAAGCGCGGTGCAGGGCAATCGCTTGCACCGCGTAGATTGCGCCACGGATATCGCGCAGCATAGTTCCGCCTGTCAAGCCAAAAAAAAACTGGAATCTACCACCCCCCGAGGCTGGGACTGACCCCCTCCTGGGGATGTGCATGTTGCAAGCGAGTTTGCCAAATCGTTCAATTCTCCCTCGCCGCTCGCCCCAGCCAGGCGCGGTTCGACCTGC